TTTTTCTTAGCCCCTCCACCTCCCAGAACCTTGCAGCATTATTGTTTCCTGAATGCATTATTTCCATCAAGTACTGGCAGTCCTGACATTGATAGGCAGTGAATCAATACTTTTGTAGAATTGATATATTTTATAAAATTGAGGCCAAACTAGTTTTGCAGATCCACAGTGTGTGCAGTATGTGATTTTCCATTCTGGATATAATAACTGGAATTCTAAATACTCCCCCACAAGCACTGATTGCATGCTTTAGGAAATTCACAGTGAAGAATTTAATTAAGAATGAAGAAACTGCATCACTTCATTTAAAAAAGAGAAATTCACGCAAGATATTTTGTTCATTTTCAGGCTATAATAGCAATAACCTTCTTTAGCTGAGGACATTTCCTGGGGCTTAATGGCCCATGGCTGTGCTTCTTCAGGTGATCATCATCATCTCCCAACAGTCATTAATCCCCTACAAATGCCCTGCACCTCAGTCATTAAATGTGCTTAAGTGTGCTTCTTCTGAAAATGAAATAGTTCTATATTTAATGCATCTTCCAGGAATAGGAGTGATCTTTCTGAGGTGAGGAATGAAAGAAGTTTATTACTCTGTCAAAGAAGTACTAATTATGACAAGTGGATAAGTTCTGTTTCTGGAGATAGCATGACAAAGAATTTTTCCACAATAAGAGCATGTTATATGTAAGTCATTGTTTTAAGTGCATCATGATTTACACTCATCTCAATTGCATAACAGCCAGATCAGAAATACAGGTAGTTATTTGTAGCTAGATTTCTTCTGCAGAGCATCTCAGCCTAGAAAAATCTCACCAAACATGCAGTGTGTGACTGCAGTGCTGCTTAAAAAGACTTTCCATAGCTGTAAAAACAGAGCTATACAGCTTTACAAGGTGTTTGTGATAATGCAAGAAAATAAAAAGGAGATAAATCTTTCATACCTAAGGTCTGAAATTCTTACCAAAAAATCTTTTGGTGAGCACTTTGAATCTTTCCTACAAATATGACTACAAGTACAGTGCCAACAGCATCATAAGAGGTTTTAAACACAGTATACGGCCTACCCCTGCTGAAGTAGAATTAAAGCACTCAATGAAAATAATTTAAATTGAGAAAAAAATGGAATGAGAGTTGGGGGAATTTTAATTGTATTTTATTTGAATTTTACTTACTCCTACATTGTGCTCTTTTCATCTTGTGCTACTAAACTTGCACAGTGTACACCTAAAGTACACATTGCATGAAGCCTGTACCTGTCCCAAAAAGATTCTGAGAGGGATCAGAGCAGACACTGCCTTCACTGAGTGAAAAATTAGTACCTTTTGGGTATTATGATAATTTATTATTTATGTTGGACATTCTGATTCCATGTACTTCAGTGAGTGACTGTCTAGATAAAGACAGAAGTAGACCTTTGGGCCATGCATTATTAAATGTTGAATGTTAAATTATGTTAATGTTAAAATTAGAGCTCTCCAAATCAGCACCTTTAGATTGCAGATTGACCTGAAAAAAAGAATTATTACAACCTGACTCAAAAGTTTCTTGCCAAAATTTTCTGTTTCTTTTAACAAGCAAAAAATGACATTATTAAAATACCTTTCAGTATACACAAAGTGTTTTGATTTACTCGCAGAAAAAAAATTCAGTTATTTCAGTAACCAATAACAACTGCCTTAATTTTGCAATTTTCCAAGTTAGAGAAATTTTTCTATGTGAAAGACAAAGGTTTCTTTCAGAAAATGTTAGATACAAAATATTACATGCACCCATGTGCATACACATTTTATCTTGCTCCATTGTGGGTTCTGGACAGAACTATGACCTAATTTAGACTTTATTCTGAAATCTTTCCTACTCATCCTAATGCAGTTTTCAGCAAATAGATTTTGAAAAAAATTTATTAGATCTCTCAATAAATTTGCCAAATAAAAAAAAAAAAAAAGTTGCAAAGAGCTAAGGACAAGACAAAGAGTATTGCACTTTTAAGTTGTTTTCAATCTACCTTATATCTCACCCAAAACAGCAGGTTGGGGTATAAATACTTATGTATTGTATTGCAATTAGAACACTTCTTTTGCTATAGATCCTGGTTAAGGTTATTCATACCTTAGCATGCAATTTACAGTGTCAACATTCTTCAGATCATTTGCCAAAATTCAACAGGAGTGTCCACAATAAAGAGTAGTTGAAAAAAGAAAGCATATTTTTCTAAAGTGAATTTATCAGTATACCTGGAATTCTTGGGGTTTTTTTCTCAAATTCTCTGTTTTCACCTACTCATTATGTTTACAGATCAATAGAACTTAAAAAACCCAAAAAAACCCCAAACCAACCTCATATAATGTTTCTCATTCTCATTGTAAATTCTGTGTTGTAGGTCTTGTTTTCCCTCTGTGCTGCATTCTGGGGAATCCAAATTATGAAGCGGATCACTTCACTCAAAGATAAACAGCAATGAATGAGCAGATCTAACATCACCTTAAATGCGGAAACAGCACTTCAGGACAACCTTCTAAGTTCCTTGGAATTAATCAACCATGAATCATGCTGAATTGCAATCAGTTCACTTATGATACAAGAGATTTGTGATTTTTGAATGAAGGTTTGAAAGATTCCTAAGGGAGTATATTAATTTTTATTTGATTTTTAAAATAAATATTTAATTTCTTCCCAATTTAAATAAAATACTTATTCACAGCATAGATTTTTACATTCATAGGATTACAAACTCTTCAAAACCATGTAGAACTAATTTAATTTTTGCAGTGATTTTGTTAGTAATAGTGTGTGAAAAGTATTTTTCACAAGAGAAATAATTAAAATAATATCTGATGTAACCTGGTATAAAGTGATTGACTGTCTTCTTATTGAGGCTAAACATTAACATATGTGAATGTCATTTTTTTCTGTAATGATTGAATTACACTAGAATCTCCATGTCATGCCCAATTCAGTGTTCATAACATACAGCTACACGAGGATGAGTAGTTGAGGCAAGAAAATGATTAAAAACAGCACGATAAAATAACTTGACCTAGTATGAGTTGAAACATCTTCAATAAAATTGGCTGATGCATGCGTTGTATAATACAGACATGCAGTTATTTACGGAATACACCTGCATTGCCAACTTTACATAGTGATCAAACCAGGATTCACACGTGGGTTTCCCGCTGACACTCACCTGACAATATATTTGCAAGGCTGGGCCCTTAATTTCTGGTAGTTTCCTGCTGGGTGATGTCAGGGGAGATGCACGTCTTGTCTTTCAGAAGCTGTTGGAAACATGGTGTATACTAAGATAGGAAAATTAAATACAAATGGTAGAGGGAGTCTCCAAACAGCAGGACTGGCAAAAATACTGGCTCTAGGTTGTTTTTCTTTCCTCACAGTCGTCCAATTTTTTTTTTGGCTGCAAGCCTCTTAGAAGTGCTTAAAGTCAAGTAGCTAAAAAATGGATCCTGTCTTAGATGCTTCAAACTAGTAATAATACCTGGATTTAAAAATGAGTTTAAGTTTGTGTTCTGGTTTTTTACCCATTCCATTTTCCTTGACGAATGTTAATGGCAGTCTGATATCTCAGATTTAGACAGCCTACTTTGAATTAACTCATTTTCAGTCTCTAGCTGTAACAAATGCCACTGTCCGTGGAGTGGGATGTTTCTAATAAATTTTCAGAAACACAGTAATGTTATTTATGTAAAATTGTTGCACTGTCTATTGATAGTATCATCTAAATTGTAAAATAGAATCATCAAAATACTCAGATTGCAAGGAACCTTAATGATAGGTTATTTAATGTATAATTTAAAAAAACAACAGAATCTGATTTCAGAAGTAAAAGAAAATTACCAGCTTCTTATATGGCCCTGTAACTTAGTGCACCTATATTTTCCAAATTTGTAATGGTGATAAGGTCAGTTTAATATAACAAAGAATCGTGTTGAAAGTCAGTTTCCTTATTGAAATAAATCCTTCAAAGAAACAGGAACAGGACAAAAATTTAACATTTTATGCTTTGAAAACTGGCAGTTTTGGAGGGGCAACAATGAAGAATTAAGTAAAATTAAATTAATTTTAAAGCTGTCCTAATGAATGTCATGTATTTTCAAGAAGAAAGGAGTGTGATTTTAAGGGCAAGTATAATATATGTCTGATGAGGACAACCTAGTCATTAAAGCAGAGGCCAAAACAATTTCCACTTTTCTAAGGGTTTTTAAATCCCAATTTCCTGCTTCCAGGGACTTGGCATTGTATATAGGTTGTTTGAAAGCAAGGTGCAGGAGAGGAGCAGCATTCTTCCACTGCGTACTGATCAGTAGGGTCTGAGAACAGCTCCTTTGACTGAAGGCTTAAACAGACTCATGGTGGGTGAGCAGGACTCCTGTGCTTTACAATAACATCACCCAGGTATGTATAAGCAATCCTTTGGCTACAGACTGGAAGCTAGGATTTGGCATTTTTGGAGAAGAGAGTTTCAGGGACAAGCTCTTAGAAACACCTTTGCACCATCCTTTCAGTGGCTATGTGGTGGGTAACTATATCCCTGTCAACTTGCTTGTCACAAATTTTTTTAAATATAAATTATATCATACTTTAGGTGCCTAACACCACTACTGGATCTAGTTTGTGCTGTCTTTATATCCACTGCAAAGAGTGAAATAATCATCCCAAAGATGTCTGTGGGGGAGTCAGGAGACTTTGGAGACCAGTTGGCCACTGAATTGAATTATGTGCAGTTAATATATATAATGCAATTAATTCAATTAATTTAATACAAACTGCAAATAATGCTCATTGCTACCATGATATTTTGATAAGGCAGCCTTCTCCCCTCAGTTTTTTAATATTCCATAACTTATTTCTTTATAATTTGACCACGTTGTGTGGTTGAACAATCGTATGGGATAAAGTGAAATGAGGTGAATTATGTGAGGGCAGTAGTGTGAGGACAAAATATTGATGTAGAACTAATAGATATTGTGTAAGTAACTGTCTTTCTTTTGGTAAACCAGTCTTTCAGGTCTCTAGAAAGAAAAATATTCTGGACTAACAGCCTAGCCTCACATGTCCAAGCATGAAACTTCATAAATGATGTTTGTAATTTGCACTATTGCATAAGACTTCTTTTGGTCTTGTTTGTTATTAAACTCCCCAGTGATACACCTTAGGAGAAGAATGTGGATAAACAGAACTTTTTTTCATCAAGACTGTTAAAAAGTGATTCCCACCACTCCTACTAGCTGTTGTAAAGTCACATCCCTGCACATGGCCTTTCCTGGACTGTGTGCACAGCAATATCAAGTTACTGAAAACCCAGAAGTAAGCAGCTGAATCCTGTGTCACTTGAGACCTGACCCTGCACCATTCAAGTCACCAAAACACTTGCTGCTGACCTCAGGATCAGGGCAGAGCATTCCCTGTATGAAAACAAGAACGATGTAATATTTGCTGCAATTCAAGCTTTGGTGAGGTGCATTGATTAAAAGTAACAGAGTTGCACAATTGCTTATTCCTGAGTGGCTAACATCGTATCCTTTCTGGTATACTAAACCAGAGCACTTTGTTAGATAAATGCTGATAGTTAAAGCTGTAACCTGTACTTACCAGATAAAAAGGACTTAGGGCACTTTCTCTTGTCTTTGTTGTCTTCAGTTTTCTCTCAGATTTGCAGGATAAAGGGCATCATTGCTCAAACCATTACCTAAAGGGAGTAGTTGATCAGATATTTTAAAGCTTTTTACAGCCAAATGTCTGTGAGCTTTCAGGAATTTAAGCGGTGTGATAAGAAACTACTAAACTGCATGGCACTAAAGGTAAGAGTTGTTTAGATTTTTCTTATTTGCTCTTTAATTTGTGACCAAAAAAGCAAAGTCTTAGCAATGTAGTTCATCAGTAACAATTGTAACTCTCAGAGAATACTCAAAGCATTGCTTATTGTGTAAACTATGTTGCCCTTACCTGAAATTTTTCTTAAAACTCTGGTACCTGAAATTGTGTAAATAAAGAAACATTTTTGCCTGCTGAAAAGAAGACCTATAGAAAGTTCAAAATCTAAAAAGGCAAACAAGATTTTAATCAGTAATATTTTAAAACATTTCCCTTTTAAAAAACCCCAGTGATTACATGAGGCTTGACTCATGGTTTTTAAGCATGGGATTGCTAATGCTGAATGGGAAAAAACTATTCTTGGTCTACCTTTTTTCCATAAAACCTCTGTTTCCAGCACAGGCATATACAGTGCCTATGAGGCAGAGTTCTGCTGGGTTTCCTGGTTCCCTGCTGGTGTGTGACCAGCAATTCAGTTTGGAATTCAAACAAAGCAGACCACAAGCCAGCTCTCTGAGGGGCCCTGACCCTCAATAACTCTCAGCACACGCAGACCTCACCACTGTATGCCCTGCTGCCTTCCAGCCCCAGCAGATGGGGCAAAGCAAACAAGAGAGGTACTGTGGACTTCCAGGATTTTCTCTTTCTATAGGGAAAACAAGTGTTAAAATGCCACATTTGAAAGTGAGGTACAAACCACAACATAAAGCAAAAATAAGGTATCTCACATGCTGGAGAAGCACTTCCATATTAATATCAAGGCCAATGGAAAGCTTGGCTCCATTCTTTGTCTTTTTTGCCCCACCTATGGAAAACAGCAGAAAAATGTGGAAACATTGAGTAAGAATGAACTGCTGAGTGTCCTTGTGTTTATGGTTTGGCACAGAAAAGCGATACAAAATGAATTCTCTCCACCCCACCCCTTGATATATTTTTACTGCTTCCTCCTTTATTCTTTCTCACCATTTTTCTCTTTCTCGCTCTAGTGTTTATTCATCTTTGTAAAATATCCTCTCCTTTCTTGCCTTAGGTTTGTTATGTGTGGAGGTGCATAGTGATACATTATATTATATATCCATAAATATTTTACTTTTTTTTTTATTATTTTCTATTTGATGAGAGCCAATACTTACCTAAAGGTGCCTACTTTCTTTACTGGTCCTGTCAGTCAACGGACTGATGTCTTCTAATATTAAAAAAAACCCTGCTCATACATTGTTGTATTTATTTCACTTGTTTATATTTACCTAATTTCCTCTAATGATTCATTTTCTATTTACATTCCAGTAACATGGCTCTGTCCTTTTCCTAGTTTTTACTTGCTCTCCTGCTTCCTTGTTATTAATTCCTTGTAGTTACTTTTTGTCCCTTCAGCACCATGCTTTAGCTGTCACTGTCTCTTTGCTCCAGGATGTACCTCTACAGTTCTTGTGGATCATTTTCTAGCCTGCTGATTTTAATGTGGCAGATACAGTCCAGTAATAACAGTGTTTGATTAAAAAGAGATTAAATTAATAAAGACAATAATGGAACATTTTAAACACTATGGAATTTGTGGTGTTTTCTGCTACTTATGTTTTTTCCACAAACCTTGAATGCAAGTACTTATCAGCACATAAATTACAATTATAGATGTTTGCCAGGAAAGAAAAATACAGTAAGACAACTGGACTACAATTTTTTAGATCAAAGAATAGGTTATTAACGTACTGAGTGTGGTCATGTCTTTTGCTGCTGTCTGTCTGCTTTGAGGTCATGAGCCTGTTATTTGAAGATAATGACATTACTCTTTTGCCTCACGTAGCAGCATTTGTGATTTCAGATCTAACAGTGCTTTACCTTCGCTCATGACTCATGGCTGACTCACTACCTTTAATCATTCTGAAAGCAAAGATTTTATTTTTGCTCTTCTTTTAATCACAGTGCAAAAAAAAATACTCTGAGGGAAGGTAAAGTGTTATATATTGCAGCAGTGTAGGTATGTAGCAATGTACTGATTTTTGTAGAACCTCAAGTATTCCCAGTTTTCTATCCATGACCATAAACTAGATTTCACAGTGATGTCTAACAGAGGAAAGCCTGATGATCAGGGATTGGTGGAAGAAATTAAAGGCAATTAAAGGCAAGTTTCTGTGAACAAAGTCTGTCATTGAAGGTCAGATCACCTTTGGTTTTATTTAATATTAATTATTTTGTCTGAAATATAGCTGTAAGAGAAAAGTAATGTCTTCATGATTTCATGGCCAATAATAAGATATATACTTGAATAAATTTTCTTCTTTGCTAACAATATTCCTATTATTCATGAGAAAATCTATAAGTGTCTCATGCCTATAGTTTATTATGGTTAATCATGCCTGATAACTGGACTATAGTATGTGTATAAATGGCCTTATTAATGAAGTGCAATTATCAATGATTTGTGCTACAGGAGAAGAATTATTCTTCAGTATTATTTTCCCCAGGTTTTCTCCTTGCCAGAGAGCCCAGTGGTAGAGTTAGAATTTAGCTAACATAGTCCTAAGTATTATAGGATCATGAAAACTTGCTGTATTCTACTAATGGCTTCCTCCTTGCACCTCTTTATAGAGACCTGTGGTATTTTTCCCAAGGAATTAACCAGCTCTTATGATGCTACATGCAAAATAGCTCATCTCTGAGAGAGATACTGACTGAGAGAGAGATATGGCTGAGATATATTTGAGCATTGGCAGAGATGGGCATTGTACCCTGTCAAGCAGCCTAATCAAGGTGAGGTGACCAGTCTCCTTTCCTCAGCATTTCCAGGCAGGGAAGCACAGATGGACTTGAGCAGCAAAACTTGCAGAGCAAGAAAGGAGCACAGGTTATTGCAGTCTCTGTTGGGGTGGCCAGTGGGGGTGTGCCCTGGCACAGGGACAGTTTGATTAAAAGCCTATTGCAGTTACAAGCCCATCAGGCACAGAAGTGAACAGCTCCAAGTCACTGTCATTCAAGACAGAAATTTAATAAGAACAGATATGACAGAGAAGGTGGTCCGCAAAGAACTCCTGTGGCCTGTTTTTGGTGGTGGTTGTTATTATTATGCTTTCTTTGGGCTTTTCCTGTTTAGGAATTTCTCTGTTTCACTGTGTCTTGGATAAGTGCAAAGCAAATGGGTCTTCTTCTACATATCAGGGATTTTTCTAACAATATTTGAATAAAGACGATGAAATGGTATGCTGGTGCATTTGAAGACTTGATGTATTTTCACAATACAAGTCTTTATGGTCCTATCAGATTCTATTGCACTTACTTGCAAGATAATGAAATTAAGCAAGATAAACCATTAGACCTTGTAGCTGTGATAAATACATCCACTAAAAAGGGTAATTTGTCACATTTCATATTGTAATTTTCTTTTCTATAATGATGAATATACAGGGTTGTATACCATGATTATGAATAACCATCAGAAACCACTTTTGCTTAGTGGATGCTGAAGTCCCATTATTTTTAAAAAAATCTTCCTTTTGACTTCTCAGAATAAACAAAAGTTCAAGTAATATTTCCTCTAGATAGTGTTTCACAAACAATAAAGTTATAGGCAGTATGACACAGAGTAGTAGCTATGAAGGTAATTTTTGTAGGTATGTTGAAGAAATCAGAGACGTCTTCTAGTAAGATTTTAGAAGGGAACAGTAGTGATGACTGATAAGTGTTAAAAAGGGTTATGAAATATTAATCAATATGCTATTAGTATATGTAAAAGCAATTCAGCTTTTTAGTTCACTTGCGCAGTTTGAGCTCAGTCAAATTTGCCAAAAATGTGCACTGGGATGTTTTTGTTTTTTCTGGAAGGTTTTCTGGAACTTATGGAAAATGTAGTTATGTAGTCTAAATATACTCTGTGGAAAATATTCAACTATAAGGTCCATTTTCCTGTTGAGATCTCAGGGAAACAGAATTAATAGTGCCCGAGTCCTTGAGCTTGTCTGGTTAGCAGATATGCATTTGGTTTCTAAGATGTAGAGATTTATGTCTGAATTCTGACAGAATGAGATATGTAGATGAAGATTTGTGTTTTCCAGAAGATAACTGATCTCTAGTAACTTCAGTAATTTCTGGGTACCTGCAGTCATAGCCTCCATGTTTTTACTGACTACATATTCAGCAGACAGTAAGGTTTAAAAGGTGCAAAATACTAGCACTACATGGCTTTGTTTTCACGTTTGGTTCACCTAGGAAACAGCTTCTTAGGAGAAGTGAGCTAAAATTGCGTTGAAAAATATTTTCCTTTCGTGGTTTCTGCTTCTTATTGTCGTGTCTGGAGAAGATAAGTTAATTTTTTTAACTATGCATTAAAAGTCCTGTTAAAATTTTCAGCCTTTCATGGCCGTGATCATTGTGAACTTGACATTATTATCTTTATCTCTATAGCAAGTATGGAATCACAGACTCACACAATATGCTCAATTGGAAAGGATCCAGAGGGATCATCAGAGCCAGCTCCTGACCCTGCAAACTCACACCATTTGCCCAAGGGTATTGTCCAAATGCTTCTGGAACTCTGTCAGGCTGGTGCTGGGACCACTTCCCTGGGGAGCCTGTTCCAGTGCCCAGGCACCCTCTGGGTGAAGAAAGTTTTTCTTATATTCAAACTAAACTTTCCCTGACAAAGCATTAGGCCATTCCCTTGGGTCCTGTCACTGGTCACCACCTGCCCCTCATCTTCCCCTCACAGGATGCTGTAATTTCAATGAGGTTGCCCCTCAGTCTCCTCTTCTCCAGGCTGAACAAACCAAGTGGCCTCAGCTGGTCCTCATCCAGCTTCCCCTCAAGGCTGTTCACCATTATAGGCTAGGTAAAATCCTGTGTTCCAGGTGTTTGAGAAAATCTGATTATTAAAATCCTGTTAATGACTTTTTGTGCTAAGGCAATTGCTATTGGAGAATGCTGATTTTCGCTTTGCTTCACCTGGATTCTTTGAAAGGTCTCAGTGTGTTTCTTACACCTCCTACAAGGAAGG